AATACTTACTCAAAGAAACAAAAGTGAAGGAGGGAATGTTTGAGTTGGTAGGTGGGAACGGTTGACTATGTACCGGTGGTGAATCGGGTAAAGCTATTAGATGCAAGATGGTGTCATGTTTTTGTCAGTATGGCACTTCTCGGCCATCAGACCGTCCGCCATGACTCATGTTACGACACGGTTTTTTTAAATCAAAAATCCATGTCGATGTGTGTCAGTATGAGTCGTGTCGTACGGTATTTGGCTCGGGGATGAATTTCAACCAAACATGACATGGAAAAATTACATGTTTTACCCATGTCATGTTTATATGTCAGTATGAGTCTACACGTACACCATAACAGCCAAAAAACGAGGGACTTTTGTTAAGTTTGCAAACGGGCCCTTATTTGGCCAAATACGGTTTTTGGCTTTGGTGGAGTATGTGGCCAAAAACCGTATTTGGTTTCCAGCCGAACGGGCCCTTACACTTTGGAAACCCTCGAGGTGCTGAGCAAACTTAGCAGACCAGATGTACAAACATTGATTGCTCAAGTCCGGTCTGCACTTTGGAACAGGTACTTCTTCAGATTTAAAAAAGCTGACACCTCTAACTGTGATTTATGCACACAGGTTGAGAACATCAAATACTTGCTGATCACCTGTAGGAGATATATATGGGTTTTTGTCAAATGCTCTTCAAAGCCACAAAGAGAAGATCACCCTCAACAGAGTGTTGCTCCTCACCAGTCCAGTTATCTGCAAAACATTCTGTGATTTTGGATGTGTTTTGTCTTGCTTCTGCCATGAAAGAAATGGAAGCCTCCTGTAAGCACACAACCACCACAACCACAACCCATGAACTATTGCACAGTCAGCCACCAACGCCAAAGAAGATCAAACACAAAATTTCTTCCAATTACCCACCCTGTATTGATTTAATCACCCTGACAAAGACCTCAATACTTCAAGAATCTCAGACTCTGTTGGAGTCAAACCACTTGTTGTACTTGAGTTTTGACCTTTGTTTTGCTGAATGAGTCAC